TTGTTCTTGATATTCCGCATTCGTCATCCCAGATTTATTCCTAACAAGTGGTATCAGAGCAGGTTCTTGTAGATCTCAGCGATTTTTGCAAGAATCGATCTTGTTTATGGTAATATTTTATCATGAATCTCACCTTGTTCTTCAAGTTTTGTAAGTTTTCTGAAAAGAAAAAGTCTAATATCTCGTTTTTATTGAAAAATCTTGTTCAGATCTGTTATCTTCTACTCAATATTTCATTTGATTTGTTCTTGAATCGTGTTCTGGAAGAAATTTAGAAGAAAATTTTCGTGTTTACTTGAAATTTTCGTGTTCAGATCCACTTTTTCTTTCTAAAATCCATCTCAGGTCTGTTTTCTCTCACAAGAAACCTTCTCAGATCTGTTTTCTCTCTCTAGAATCTTTATCAGATCTACTTTCTCTCTCTACAAGTTCTGTCATTTGTTAAAGATCTAATGGATAAAACGAATTTATTGTTTGACTCCATTTTAGAACTTGGATTAAAGGTTACTAAACCAATCTATGGTGTTAACAAAGTGACCATGTTTCAAATCAGTGGTCGATCTAGGTTGAATGATATTCCTGAGTTGTATAATCTTCTTGTTGATAAGAAAATATCTAGATACTCATATGTTAATTACCGTGAGTTAAGAGAGATTGAGAGAATAGTAGAACAATTTCGTATTATATATGAACATTTAGATCTGGAACATAAACAAATGTTGAAGATAAAAAGGGCTGAAAAAGAAAAAGAAGTTCATGTTGTTCTTCAAGTTTCTGAAGAAAAAGTGACTCCAGATGTTCTTGTTGAGGGGGAGTCAAGTGGTTCATGTGTTTCAGATGAGTTACAATCCGAATTTAGTTGTTCTGAAGATGAATCTCAAAGAAAATCTTTGGAAATCATGAAAGTAAAGGAGTTTTGTTCTATTGGAACAACAACAGATGATTTATTGTGTTCTAATGATATCTTTGAAGGATTGGTTCCCTACAGAAAGCCAATAATTCAAGATGTTCATATTTATCAAACTCCTAAGGATTGTGTTCAAAAGTCTTCAAATGTTCAGATTCAGAAAGAATAAAAAGTTGTTCAGATCCGAAATTTATATCTCTGAAGCCTAGAAATAAGAAAAGGAAGAAGAAGAGAAAGAACAAGAGTAAATGAAGAAAGTTTGGATGCCCAGGGTACAAGTTGAAAAAGCTGAAGTCAATAATGTTCAAAGAAAATTTCATTCAGGTGAATATGTTAAGAGTTGGAGAAAAGAGAAAATAGTGTTCGGTTGGTTTAATGAAGTTTTTGGAAATTTTTGTTTTCCAACTAAGAAGCAGATATTATTTTCAGAGAATGATAGATTTTCTTCAAATAAGTGGGTATGCAAGAAACCAACTTCAAAGTTGAACCTTAAATGGGTACCAAAAGTCTCATAAAAGTTTTGTCATTTACTAAAAAAAAAAAAAAAAAAAAAAAAAAAAAAAAAAAAAAAAACGATAAATGGACAAAAGTCTTGGTGAAATCTTGTGAAGATTCAGTGAAAAGGGAGAAATTTTATTGAAGAAATCAATTTCCATTGACTTTTATTTGTTGGAAATGACAAAAGGTGAAAAGGTTAAAATGATAAGGTGAAAAATGACAGTTTCAGCAAAAAGTAGACTGAATTTGTCTGTGTCCTGCAAAAGGAGGGTCAGATTCGGCACTTTGAAGGAATAAAGCGTTACTTTTGCACCTAAGACAAAAAGGATTACTTTCGAAATGTTGGGCCAAAACCGTTTCTTAGTTGATACTCTGGGAACCAGTTTTGTAACTTAGATATAAAACTTCAATTTGGCAATTGAACGCAACTGTTGTCGCTATCTTTCGTTGGTGAATAAAACGAACATTCGCTACTTCAATATCACCATTGTATCTGCCAATTATGTTCGGCAGTTCAGTGTTCGTTCAGGGCAATTCGTCGAAAAGCGAATCTCCTCAACAAACGAACTTCATCAACCAAAAGCGAACCTCAACATGAAAGTCAATGAAGCGAAAGTCTCATTCTTTGCAGTGGAATTGTCAAACAAGAAGTGAAAAGTAAAGAAGCGCACTTGGAACCGAAATAGACCGAACGAGACCGAACGTTCGGTCTATTTCGCTTTGGGTGTGTAATTAACGGATTCGGAGCGAACTTAAGGCCTTTCGGTCCATGTCAATTTGAAATCGGAGCCATAAGGAGCGAACCTACAATTCGCTTTCGGTCCTTGATTAGCTTTCGGAGCGAGAAGGAACGAATCTTTCACAGTCGACATTGAAGAATTCACTTTTGTTACTGAAAATTGAAATTGCATAAATGAAGGCGAAACTGCAATCGGAAATCTTGAAATCAACATTTTGGGTGTTGTTACCTATTTTCTTGGTCATGAACAACCCCAGCAAAAGCGAAACTGCAATCATTCATAAGCAAAAATCGGAGCTGAAATTGGAATCGGTATTGGAAAAACTGCAATCGGGATTAGAAGAAGCTTTGATCGGAATTTTTTTTGTTGGATTCAAAATCGTCGTTATCAGAAAGTGAAAACCGAAATTAAAATCGGAATTGATAATTTAGAAATCGGAAGTCTCGTTTTCAGAAACTGGATCGGAGGATTGTAAATGGATATTTAATTTTGACTTTCAAAGTCAAAAGATGTGTCGCTGTTCAATGAAGAAGATGACACATTTTACATTCTTGGTCCCCTCAACTTCAACGCTTTAACAATTCCAGTCCTCAAATGTTTACAGACTTTTCAGTTTCTACCTCTCGTTGGAAGATGCCACTTATTTCAACGCTACATTGAAGAAAATGGATTATATTTTCAATATTTGCCCCCCCCCCCCCCCCCCCTCTGACTTTCAGCACTTCACCAGATTACTTTTGGTGTAAGCTTTTTACCAGATTAGAGTTTTTTCTCTGTACGTTCATCTCATAATCAATACATGAAAAACCTTTATCAGATTTCTTGCATATTGTGGTGATTGATTCTTGATTGTTCTTGATATTCCGCATTCGTCATCTCGGATTTATTCCTAACACTCACTGTGCATATCAAATATTAATGAAAACGGGAAATGATATCAGGGAAAGAGGCGAAGACCGCTGATATAAGAGAAGATAAACCATAAATGAATTTCTTTTTGTCGTGCCGAAATATAAGGCTTCAAAGAAGACTCAACAAGATCAAAGGACTTAGTCAAAATTACTGCAATGGCAGGATCAAATATCTAGGAATGTTGGTTTAATTTTGACTGATTCATTTGACCAGATAAGATTTAAGGCATAAACTTATTGTAAATATTGCAATAATATTTGTACCTCTTAAAATTGAGCATTTAGGGTTAAATGTTTATTAAGGTATATATATATATATATATATATATATATATATATATATATATATATATAGGGTTAAAGATATGTGAGAACTTGCAAACTAATAATCAACTTATCATTTTTCAACACTAAAAACACCAATCTTCTCAAAATGGTACGTCTAAGCCACATCTAGGCTCAAAAAAAAAATTTTGACAATTTTTTTTTTCGAAATTTGCATGTATGCACAATTAACAGTTGTAAGACTGCTGATAAACATAATCAGCAGTCATATGGACTGCGGATGTGCACAATAAGCAGCCATATGGACTGTTGATGAGCAATCAGCAGTCCATATGACTACTAATTGTGCTCATCAGCAGTCCATATGACTGCTAATTGTGTTCATCAGCAGCGGCCATACAAAAAAACTAAAAACATCCGTCAGAACTTTTTTTTTTTAGTCTAGATATGGCTTAGACACAATATTTGGAGAAGATTGGTGTTTTAGGTGTTGAAAAGTGATGAGCTAATTATGAGTTCGTAAGTTCTCACATATCTTTTGGTTCGCACACTAACTCAACCCTATATATATATATATATATATATATATATATATATATATATTATATATATATATGGGGATAGGGAATATACATTACAGCCCCACCTAAGCTTAGGTACTAAACTTCTAAAATATGTCGTTTTAACATGCTAAATATACCCGATTTGGTTTCACTTGGTAAATATATCATCCTCCATAACATTTCTTTCTTTCATTATCGTTTTACCATCTCTGTTTTCTTTCCTCAATTATCGTTTATTATTTCACCCAAGTGAACATTACTAAACCTTAAACTTAAACCCTAAACCCTAAACCCTAAATTTAAACCATAAACCCTAAACCTAAACTCTAAACCCTAAATCTAAACCCTAAACCTTAAATCTAAACCCTAAACCCTAAACCCTAAACCTAAACCCTAAACCCTAAACCTAAACCTAAACCTAAACCCTAAACCCTAAATCTAAACCATAAACCCTAAACCTAAACCCTACTGTGTCGATCTTGAATTTACATCTTGAAGTATTAATCGTGAATCCATTAACCGTAATCTTTATATAGTAAAACAATGTATTTTCAAGAGGTTTAGTACCTAAGCTTAGGTGGGGCTGTAATGTATATTCCCTTTTCCCTATATATATATATATATATATATATATATATATATATATATAATATATATATATATATACTCATTTTTAAAAGATGTGCCATTACTTTGTCAAGAAACATAAACGAATATATAAATTATGATCTTCGATCTTTTCTAATCATAGGGCTCAAATAATTCTCTTATTTACATTTTTTGTGAATAATTATTTTGACATGTTCAAGTTCAACACCTAACTTTGAGACTTCTTATATATTCATTTTATGCAAACAGTTGTTAAATTTAATAAAGAAATGCAGTAACCAAAATTACTATCAACTTAACCAAAATTACTGTTAGCTCAGCTATCAGCTAAGTTGTATTACCTGTTTTATAACTAACAACCTCAGATTCTTTCTATCTTCTCTTTTTTATTATTTGGTTGACTTTTTAGAAAAATAAGAATATGAAACTCATTTTTAGAATATGTGCCGTTATTTTGTTAAGAAACATAAACAAATATCACATATAGTGGATGCATCTCATAATCTTATACAGGTTTATATTTCATATGCATGTCTACCAAAAAGCTAAATAGCCTCCAGCAGTAATGATCCTTTTTCATCTCTGATATAGTGATCTAGTCAAAGCCTCTTTTGTTAATCATAGTGATAATGAGTAATGACTAATAAAATATTTGTATAAAAAACTTCCAAGCTACAAGTATAAATGTCTTGTAGAGCACACATATTTATTGTGATAAAAAGTGTAAAAAAAAAAAAAAATTACCTACTGGCAATGTGTTTGGCTCCAATCTATAAAGGTTACTTTGTTGTACTCTTCTCCGTATTTCCATATTCATTTACTCATTGCAAAGGAATCTACATCATAAAATATGAGCACAAAGATTTTCCCTCTTGTATCCTTTAACTTTATAACATATGCAACTTCATCTGAACACATGAAGAATTTGCATAGTTTTCAGAATATAGAACCATGGCAGTATCTGACTCTTAGATAGCCTTCCAAAGGGATGGACCTATCAATTCTTCCATTAGAAGTGTTTCATCATCCTTGTAAGTGTAGATCCCTTGTTGTGAAAGAGCTCAGTAGATAATCCACAAAAATCTTGCGAGTATCTTCTCCTCTAAAGCTATGGAAAACATCCTACATTCACAATTAAGAATAAAAGCTTGTGGTAGAAGTAGAAGTTGATGATGATGAAGATGTCATTGGTTAAATGTTGACTTGTTGAGATAAGAGGTGTGTGGTGTGGTTTGAGCACTTTAATAGATTGAACTTTATATTGGTAGATGTAAGTTTCCAAAAAATTTCAATTTACCAAAGGTTCAAAAACATCCTATCACTCGACATTTTCACTAAACCCTAAACCGTAAACCATATTCTACAATGCAGACAAGATTCCCTTATCTCCTTTTTCAAGCTATCCTAGCAATATAAAGCAGCTTCTAGGAATTAGATGTAGCACAAATTTATGCTAAACCTCAAGGACAAAGAGTTTCAAACTCCAAACTGCCACTAATTATTCTTATCTTTCACATGACTAATTGAACGCTTAACTTTGTTAAACAACAACATATAGTGGCCTTGTGGGTAGTTATTGTATCTTGATTTAAAACCTTTTGCATTGTCAACAGGATGGGCTCTAGCCTAACTGTATATAATTTTTGCCTCATAACTTTTATTTCAGATTTGGGGGGCTGGGCGTCAACATATATATATATATATATATATATATATATATAAGATTAACGTAAATATTCATGAGTGAGTTATGATTGATTATCCAATTAAAATAACAAAAATAAAAGGGGTATACCTGACACTAAGGTGTTGTTTATTTTGGAAGTGGTTAAATATCTTTTGTCTTTTTCCATGTTTGCGGAAGAAGACGTATACCCACCAGAAGGGAAAAGTGCTCAAAAAGTACTTTTGTAGAAAAACAAACGAGGCCTAAAACTCCAAGGGGCCATCCAAGTAATACAGCAATATATTAAGAACCAAACCTCTTAAAATGTGTTTGATTATTCTTGAGTGAGTTAGATGTGGTGTTTCCTTCTTTGACTTCTGCATCATGGCTAAGATGGATGTGTCAAAGATAGCATTTTTTTTTGTCTTTACCAAAAACAAATATGCAATCTTGGACACACCATTTTAGCCATCTACGCTGCTGAAATGTGTTGAAGATGTATTGCTCATGCCATCAATCAACATAGTGGTTTTGAACTTAGGTAGGCATTCACATCCTTCATTATGAGTTTAATATAATGGGAGTGGCTTCAACTTTTGTGCATGCTCATTGAGTAGGTGCTTGTAGCACAAATGTGGTTTTAAACCTAAAAGGAAGAAAGAATATAAGTATTATGTTACAGATGATCAATTCGTATTATATATACTAGACATCACATCTCATGTAATAAACAACAATTTCGTATTTTTCACATGTACAAATGAACACAGCTTTAAACGTTAAATTGAGTGGTTCCTGCTTCCCAGTTGAAATATTAAAAACTTTAATAGTTGGACACATGTCTTGCCACTACTAATTTGTCAACAGAAAGCAAGATTTAGAATAAATAATAGTTTATTACTTTATTAGAAAAAGGACTAAAGGAGAACTCAGATTTGGGAACTATAGATAAGGTTTTTGACCACGATTAGGTTCATTTGACTTTTAAGTTGTAAAATTGTCATTTGATCGACCATCAAACCAATCTAAATACCCAATTGTGAAATGGAAGGAATGCTAGTTATAAATGAATAAAGCATAATACATGTTTCAGCTCATCCTGCTATGCTTATTCCTGTTTTATCCTGTGATGCATGCTTCAAATTATTCCATTACCCTAGACATAATCCATGAAAGAGCATTGATTACTTAGTAATGTGTAATCCAATAATATAAAGAATATTTAACTATAAGTTTCATTAAAATCATTGGATATGACAATAATGAATAAGAAAAACAGAACACATTGCAGATATAAGGTATCTCAACATGTGAACTGTTGTTTCACCTTGAGAACCACAAAGACCACATGCTAGATCAATTAAACCCTCACTAATCAAGCTAATAACTAAATAGATATAGAAGTGATCACCGGAGAAAACACTTAATGTTCAAAGTAACTTCATCTTCTAGATACTTCACCACAATCTACCATCTAGTCCCCAATTTGAAAGATCCCCAATTTTTAGGTATCATCCTCCTATCCACCATGGCAAAGCTACTAACATGTGGACAAGCAATTAATTTGGGTAGGGTTACAATTACAATAAAGTAGATATTGGAGCGAAGTGCCAAACTAGTGGTCAATGCTTAAAATTTTAGCATACGGAAACTGAAGAGTACCACAGATATAGTACTTATTGGAACCAATATCATCTGCAAGTTATCTGTGTGTCTAAAAATAGATGGAAGCATCCATTTTGGAGAACAGATTACCATATTTCAGTTCTACGTTATGTAGTTTTTTTCATACTAAAATAACTCCAAAATAAGAAAATATGGATAGGAGAACTCTTCTTGAAGAATTTATCGAACATTTTGTACTCATAGAGTCATAGGAATGAGAGATGGAACAAGTATATATACCTACTACTAAAAGACACGCAAATGTATACGTAAACCCACCCAAAATCTATGTATAACCTAAACCGAGTGTTAAAATCGAACGTCTATCTAGGAAAATTGAAAAATTAAAACCAGATTTTAACCACATTGAAATCAAAACAAACCTAAATTACCCAAACCGAACTCTAATATATCAATGATGTTTATACTTGTGACGAGAAAGGAACAATTTCTTACCGGATTAAAGAGACTCGGTTTGTACAGCAAGGGAATTGTTTATCTCGATCGGAGTGAGCAGCTGGTTGGGTGGTTAGGAGGAAGTGCTCTGTTACTGTAGCCGGTCACATTGGAGAGCTCAGCGCTCTGCATAAATCGTTCTTTGTTAATATATCACTTTTTTTTTTTTATTAGAAAATACATATATAAAAATCAGATAAAATTTCAAAATTAGTCCTTATGGTTTACAAAAAGTCTCATTTTAAGGACAAATTTAAAAAACGTCACCGAACTGGCCACTAGTCTTTGTGGTTTTAAAAGCTTGCAAGGTTAGGGGTCGTTTGATAGTTGCTAACTGGGTTAGAACTGACTAAGTTAGAAACTGACTGGGTTAGAAGTTCTGTCCGAGTAAATTTCTGATTCAAACTTGTTGTTTGATTTTATATCTGACTGACTAGCAAAATGACTATATTACCCTCAAACTATATTTTTTTATAATGGACACTTGTATACTTCTTAACACCTGTACACTTCACACATTCTGTGGTTTTCAACATACAATTAACCATAAAGAAAATGAGATTTGATCAAACCATCTGCATAAAAGAAATTTGATTACATCAAACCATAAAAGAAAATTGATCAATCCATCAGCATAAAAGAAATTTGATCAAACCATGGGTCATGGGTGTATTATAAAATCATAAACCCAAAATCAAAAGAAATTTCACATACAGTCAAAATTAAATTCATGTCAATTTGATTTAACAAGTTAAAAAAATTATATTAAAGAGAGCTGCCATAAGATCTCAAAAACATGATCAAACCATCATAATTTTACAAACAACAACAAAAAAATCTGAACAATCAACAGCAACAACCACATCAAACGAGCACAACAAGCAGCAACAAATCGAGAATTTCAAAAACTGAAGTCATTAACTCAAAACAGTGGACAACCATCGGCACATATGTAAGCAATTGATTTGTCAAATTATCGTAATCACATCACATAGAAGAAAATCGGATTTCAATTAAATCAGTCGGCGACCAATTTAAGCTCCAATCGTATCAGTTTACGATCCCAATTTGACAAATTCGTGTTCCAGAGTCGATCAATTCTCGATCCCAATTGAATTAGATACAAAATCGGTATCGACGACAAATTTCATATTGCAGGTCGCGTATGCAGTTTGTCATCCTGGTGACTATGGGAGAGACTCTGCGATTGATTGCAGGGAACCTGCGTTCTTGAACTTTTGACATAGTACGAAGGAAGCAACGCGAAGGGCATAAATGAGAAAGACGCAGGATGGACTCGGTCAGCAATCTTTCAATCATGGATCGAGTAAGGAGCTAGGTCAGTGATTGGTGACCGAGTCGGAATTTTCGGGCTTTAGCAAACGGGCGGACCCGGGCCGAGTCAGCCGAAATTGCTGACCGGACCCAGTCAGTTTATTATCAAACGGAGCCTTAGTCTTTTTGACTAACTTTGTTAAAAAATGGTTAAATATTTATGAAATGACTAGTTTACCCTTCTTTATTTCTTTTATAAATGTTTTATTTCTTTAATCCCCTTTAATAAATAAAAGAATTTCTTCAAACCCCTTTAAGTCTTGTAATAAATTGAAAAAACAATATAATTAAAAGACCAAACTTTTTATTCACTCAATAAAAAAAATAAGTTTAAGAAAACGTAATCTCCACCCCCTTTGTTCCGATTGTCTCCCCTCACCGGTCAAAACTACCCCCACCCTTTTCTTTGCTTATCCATTATAGTGATCCTTACCGCCGGTTACTTCTCTTTTTCGCAGATTTAGAGGGTGTTTGAGATTTCAATTTAAAGTTAAAAATGACTTTTACCCAAAAAGACTTATTTGACTTATGAATGTAGGAAAATGAGTTTTTAAATAAGTGTTTGGATTAGCTTTTATAGTTGCAAAAGTCAATAAGTAAAAAAGTGTTTGGCTTAATTTTGTTTTTTATCTACTTTCAGAGCCGGCCCTGAGGGTGTGCAAGATGTGCCACCGCACAGGGCCCCGAAAAAAATAGGACCCGATTTTAGCCAAATTATATACTAAATATGTTAATATATAGATATTTACGCAAATTATTTCCAAAAGAGCATTTGGTTCGACTGGGCAGTAGCGCCGCGTTTAATTGATCCAGGTTCGATTCCTGCTTTAAGCATCATTCTTTATTTTTGTATTAATTGATGTTCCTCTGCGCACTTTTTCTTTCTTTTTATATTAATTCACGTTTTTGTAATTAATAGCCATGGTTTAATTCTGGTTATCCAATTCCAACCTTGAACTTGTTTTTATTGACCAGTTCTTTTTTCTTTTACCTCTTCAAAGTGTTTACTATTAATTGGAATTTTATTCTTCTTTCCCACTTTTCTTTATTAATGATTTTTTATTCCTCATTTCTATATAGCTTTTTTTTTAATTAACCAGCTTTTTCTTTCTTTTTAAATCGTCTACACCCACCTTAATTGATCATTTTTTGTCAATCAGTTATATTATTTTTTTCCTAGTTCACTCTCATCTAGTTTAATTGATTAGTATTATTTAAATTTGTATATATACATAAAAAAAATATATTGAAGGCCATTTTATTTTTCGTTTTCTTCTAGTTCACTCTCATCCATATTAATGGATTAGAACATCTTAGTAGTATTAACAACTTTTTATCTACACATAAAAAATTATATTAAGGGTCTATTTTTATTTTTTGCACAGAGCCTTCGAAATCAAAGGACCGGCCCTGTCTACTTTGTAAACCTAATAAGTCATAAGTTGTGTCAAGAAGTTAGAAATTATGACTTCTTAAAATCTTATTTCCAAAGACTAAAAAAAATTAAAAGACCTTTTTTATACTCAAACATTTTTTTAACTTATTAACTTTTCGATAAGTCAATAAGTTAAGAGAAATTAAATAGCATCCTACATCTTTTTCCTACTTATATTTCTATCCATATAAAATGATGACAAGTGTCATATTTTGATAAATTTAATAATATTTAATGACATTTGTCATCATTTCATATGGGTAGGAAGATAGTTAAGAAGAAAAGTATGAGGATATTTAATTTCTCATAAGTTAAAAAGTCATTTTTAGATGAACAGTCAAACACCCTTTTACCTGAATTTCAAAATCCACACTATTATCATTATCTCCATCCTAACCATAGCCACCACACCCCGTTCTTCCTACCTTATCAACCTCTTTCAACTATTGTACCTCTACCCTTATTCCCTGTTCATTTAAACCATATCTTCAGATATCCAAGACATTCACATGTCAATTATGATCTTGACGACTTGAATTAGCTCAAAACTTCTCACAAATTTGCTACAACTTTTTCTTCCGGTTGTTAGTTTCCTATCCATGCGATGCCATAAGAATGAAGAACGGTTCTTATTTGGCCATCGTCCTATGGGATATCTAATCGATTGTTTTCTTCTGTTATTTGTTTTTAATCCAAATTTGTATCAAGATTTTTTACTTAATTCAATTTGGAAATTGTTTTGAATGGATTGATCTCGATTACTATGTTTGCAAAGGTAAAGTTTAATTCGTTGCAATCGGGTTTGTTTTGAATGGATTGATTTTATTATACAAAACCCCTTCAATCAATTTTATTTTTAATGTCTTCTTGCAATTGGGTTTTGTTGCGAACGCTTTTGCTCAAGAACGTCTCTGATCCAAAAAGAACCATAGAAGATGATTAGCCAGTGTTTCTAGACATTCAATAGTTTGGTAGGTGATTTTGTTGTTGGTTAATTTCCGAGTTTTTTTGGTTTGTGCTTAGCAAATCCTTCTACTATATTCTTCAGAAACACGAACTTTGGTTTGAATTTATGCCTTTATGGGTTGCTTCAGTTTGAGTTTGTTAAGTGCTTTTCTTGTTAGTAAATCTAGCACTTCGATATATGATGCTAGGAAAGTTATTAGAAGAAGATGGGAGGTGATAAGGGCGATGATCGAAGGAGATGCAGGAGGTGTCTGTGGAAGAGGAATATGAGAAAACTATATTGACCTGGTAAGGACGAAAGGTGGGACTTAATGGGAGGAAGTGAAAAGCGAGGTGGGTGTAGTTGACGGGAGAAAGAAAGTAAGGCGTAGGATTATTGGGAATTTCCTATTATTTATCAAAGGGGTTTAAAGAAATAAAAAACCATTCATAAAAGAACTAAAGAAAGGTAAATTAGTCATTTTATAAGTATTTAACCTCTTTTTTTAAGAGTGTTAGTCAAAAGGACCAATCATGCAAGGTTTTTAAACCACAGGGAGGGACAATGGTTTGATGTTTTTTATAGTTGTCCTCAAATTATGATATTTTATAAACTATAGGGACCAATTATGAAATTTTGTCTAAAAATTAAATATTAATTTTAATAGATTACATCATTAAAAAGAGCTAATTAATATCTTTGACAAACTTCTTCTTATCATAAAATTTCATATTAGTATCATTATATTTTTTGGTTTTATAAAAATATTTTGTTTTTATTTTATGATTTAACATAAAATATATTTTAATAAACTAATAAATAAAAACGATAGAACCAATCTGTAAACCTTTAAAATGTCTGAAAAAGTGTCCAACATGAGGAAAATGTGGCAATGCTCATGAAGAAATGTAGAGATTTATCTATTGGTGATTTAACATATGACAAATGGTGATATGTCAATCCCATGAAGAAAATATGGCAATCCTATATGAGGAAATAGTCTAAAAATGTGTCCCACATGAGAAAAGTTGTAACATCCTGTGTTTCCTGTCATTTCTTATTTCGGGACCGTGGGCCGGAAGTCGATCGTGTAAAGGCTTTGGGCCTTAAGGATGTGATGTTTAGACCTTTTGGGAGGAGGCAATGATGGTTGCGAGATCTTAACCTTTGAATTTTGTTTTGGGCCAAAGGGTAGAAAATGGAAACTCATAGGCCGGTATCTTGCATGAAATATGGATTTTTGTTCGAGAAGTTTTTAATCCAAGATATCTAGATAATGTTGTGGGGCTCTTCAATACCTTTTCGTGGATATAAAGATCGTCGAAAACAAAGTTTGTACAAAGAAGTTATGACTGTTAGAAGTTAGGAGGGTTTTGGGTTTAGCCTAGTACGTTGGGCGTACAGGGTGTACGTTGGGCGTACTAGGCAAGGATGATTGTGGAGATTCAACCTCGTACGTTGGGCGTACACGATCAGAACCCTAATTTCGGGGTTTTGAGCCCTATTTAAGCTCTTTAACTTTCCTAAACCCTTTCTATTCTTAGCCTCCATCTCTCCAACGTCCTCCCTTGAAATCCTAACCCTATTTTGAGCATTGTGGGCAAAAGAAGGTGTTTTTAAGTGCTTTGGAATGTTCTTGGTGCATCTTGGAGAAGAAAGAGCTCATTGGAGAAATGGAATAACATATTATCATAACCTCACTATAATCAACAAACCTTTTGTTTGCTTGCAAGTATGCTTCAATCATAGCCACCTAAAACCAATCAAGAGATAATTGTTTGGAGATGAGAACTTTTTTTTTTAATATTCAAAGATAACTTACAGTTTCATCACTTCTTACTGTCAATTTAAGGTACTGCAATGCGACATGATCTACAGGGAAGAAGCCCATTGTTGCACCAAAACCCTCACCTACACAAAGATACAAGTTCAAAAACATGACCTAAAAATGATGTGAAATATCATATTAAATAACAGAGACATTACCAAATAACTCAACAAATTTACCAACAACACTGTGCTTTCTCAACATTTGGGTCATGTTAACACCAAATCAGTAGTTGTGACACTGTTTTGCAACTTTTTAGACAACTTGAAGCCAACAACACCGGGCAAAACCATGCCATAGGCTGTTAACAAATCAATAACCACATAAATTAGATAGTAATCAAAATACTAAATGAGTTGGATCATCATTGAAGTGGTATACTTGTCCAAACATAGTTGCTTTAGCTTCAATTCCAACTACTCGCAATCCACCAATCATGCCATCAGTGTTGAAGACAACCCGGCCAAGATACTCCAAATTCATCTGCAATGTGGTTTGAATGTGTTAATCTTTACCTGGTGAGAAATACTAGAAAAACATTTAAGAGGTAATTGTCATATTGTACAATGTGGTCTGAATGTGTAACGCTTTACTTGGCGAACAATAGTAGAACCAGGGGGGACAACATGCATGTTGTCAAAATCATGTGATCCCCATTTCCGAGAGGAAAAACGTTCATCATTGCATTGAAATTCAAGGTCCATTTTGCTTGAAAAACATTTGCACTTCTTGAAACATCAATTTGAACTGTCGACCATAAGGTCTACTAGCACCTGGGAAATATCAAGATTTGAAAGAATGAAAAACAATTGATGCTTTAAAAAATATGCCAAGTGGATAGTTAGAATATTACTTACCAATGGGTTGATCTACTTGGAGTCACCACCCAGTTTGTTCATAACATTTCACATACAAGCAAAGTCAACTACAGTTGGACCTCCAATAAAATCCTAAGACAATATCATGGAGTAGTAGAAAATGAACAAAGGAATGCGAAGTTGTATACTTGTATTAAGCCAATATACCTTGATATTAAAGAAGACCAAGCAACTAAATCTGGTTAAGGAATTTCGTCGAGCAACTTGTGTGCACTCCAGAAAACCTGACACTTTGAATACAAATTGACTAAATGATTCCTATGTTTTGGGTCATTCTCCAATCCGATTTTGATCAGGAAGGTCTCATAACATGATTTAATCGAAAGAATTTAAGAAAAAAAAAATACGTCAAGAGAACAATCGATTGTGGTAACAATTGCAGCTATCATATACGAACCAATGATAATAGGCATCTGTTTGTACCAATCCTCCACCGCTTGCACCATTTTTTTAACCCTGATTTCTTCAAGAAAACACTAAACCAATTAGCCAAGTTTCAACAGCTTCTAATGGGAGATGATATTTCCACTTGTATAATTTATCAATCCACTTAAAATAAAATTAATTTGACCTTTTTACCCTTATTTAAAATTTACCAAAATATGGAGATTGATAAGAATACCAAACGACGTAATCAATGCAATTCTTATTTCCAAACGAGAGTTGATTCTCCTTCCTAGTTGCCATTCAAGAACTGTCGTTGCTTCTTTACCGGTTTCCGGTCGTCGGTCTTCGCTGCTTCTTCTCCCTTTGTCGATTGTCAGTACTGAAGAAGTTAGATCCCTAAAGAACATAGCATAATCACAGGTGTTGATTATATTGCTTATTTATCTTTATTATGTCACAACTAGCAGATTAGGGTTAAGATTTCTATCCATGTACAAGAAAATTTCCTTTGTGTAACCTTGCATCATTTCAATTAGTGAAATTAAAACATCAATGCTATTAGGTTGATACGTTCATACATTGTCATTCAAGTCGAACAACCTTATATAATCCCGAAACTCAATCCAATAAGCCAATTCCACTCAACTTTGGGCCTTAGCCCAAACTTCCTCGGTCCAAAACCTTTAATGGACAAAGATTATGTCATTGGGCCCTATTGGGCCAATAATTACTATATTTGGTCTTGTTGGACTAAAAACCACTATTGGGTCCCTTATTGGGCCAAAAGTTCTTAATTGATTTTCATGGGGCCGAAAACCCATATGTGGGCCCTATTTAGGCCGAAAACCCCTTAATTGGGCCAAAAACTTTTCCTAAGACATTAAATGGGCCGAGAACCCCATTGGGCCAAGCCAATAACCGAACACTCTAATTTGGGCTCCCAATTGGGCCGAAGAAGCTCCTTGATTCGATTGGGCTTTAAAAAAAAGAAAAGAGAATGCTTGCAAAAGATGACACCTCAATATTGCACCACAAATAACAAATTAATTACCATCATGCATCTAGGAAATTTCTATTAACCAACATGTTTCAAAGATTAATCTCTCCTCTCTCCTCTCTCCTCCCTTTAATCGACCGATCTTCCTTTGGTCCATCTACTTCATAAAAATGCAATCTTGATGAGTATTCTAACCTCATGCATGAATCAAGACCCTTGGAAAGGTCTTAATGGGTTGTTGGGAGCATATGAAGCATGAAAAGGCATAAAGTTGCCAACTTTATGCCTTAAGACGTCTTAATGGACTTAGATCTGAAGTTTGATGTTGAAATCCCGAGTATTAAGCACTTAATAAAAAAGTAGCTTAACAGAGGAAGTACGCTGGGCGTACATGTAGGTACATGCAGCGTACACCACCTTCAGTCAGTACGCTTAGCGTACATAGGAGTACGCCCCGCGTACTCATCAGTTTTGGGCTCGTAGTGTTTTGGGCCTCGAGTTGGGCAAAGCAGTGAATTTTGGGTCTTTGGGCCTTAGTGGGCCATCAGGAGTCAGATGTTTTGGGCCAGGAAAATATTTAGACTTAGGGTAAGGCCCATTAGAGGGATTGGGCCCAATTGAGCAAATTCGGCCATTGGTAGACCACTAGTGGGCTTGGAGAGCCTACTTATTCTGGGTTTTGTTTTGGGGTTCGGGCCTTAGTTTGGATCATACTGGGCTAGGGGTAGAATAGTCATTTTACCCCCATGCATGGATTAAGGATCATGGTATGGGACCCCATTTGCTAATTGGGTATGTTGATCGGTATTGATGGTTCAGGAAGTGGACAAGGCAGCAGCTAAGGGTTTCTTCAGGGAGCTTCTGCATTTGAGGTGAGTTTTATCACCATACCAATGGGTCTAAGGCACTAAGGCCGACCCATTTTATGATAGTTGGTATACTTGCTGTGTAGAGGTGTGTGGCATTGTTATGCATTGATATGTGGTAGAGATAGCTTTTACAGCTAGTGGTAGAGATAGCCTTCAGGGCTAATGGTAGAGATAGCCTTCAGGGCTAGTGGTAGAGATAGCCTTCATGGCTAATGGTAGAGATAGCCTTTATGGCTAAGGGTAGAGATAGCCTTTGTGGCTAATGGTAGAGATAGCTTTATAGCTAATTGATATGTGTCATGTGGTAGAGGTAGCTTTTATAGCTAATTGATATGCATTATGTGGTAGAGGTAGCTTTATAGCTAATTGATATATGTTATGTGGTAGAGGTAGCTTTTATAGCTAGTATGTTATGTGGCGTGGGTGTGGGGTATGATATGGGGAACTCACTAAGCTTCGTGCTTACAGGTTTGTTTATGGTTTCAGGTACTTCAGATCCCAAGGGCAAGGGCAAGGCGTGATGGCGCGACGTGCACTCTCTCACAGGCATTTTATGGGACACTCTGATATTTGGAATAAAAGTTGTATTTGACTTATGTTTTGAAAACAATTATAACTGGGTTTCTTAATATATGGAAATATGTTTGACTACTCTAAAAATGAAAATTTTACTCTGAAAATTGGGTCGTTACAAGTTGGTATCAGAGCCTTGGTTTGAGGGATTCGGGCACACCCTCGAGTGTGTCAGGACTCAAACTAAGGAAATGGTAAAATTGTTTTCAAAAGTAACATAAAAGGGTTTTTCAAAAGGAAATGAAAAGATGAGAGTGCAACGCGCGCGATCAGCTGAGCCAAGTAAGTAGTTACCCAATGTGCTAGTCATGTTATATTGATATTCGAGCTTTGATGATCGTATGGAACTTGCTATGTGTATGCTTTTAAAATTATATACGGTCAGGAGCTTATAGCCTTAAAATGATTGATTTGGCCTTATTTCCTGTTCCTTGTTTGGTTGTGGTCCTAGCGTAGAATCTTTTATTCGAAAGTCTATTTGATCCTTTTCTGTGTATAATTTGCATGCATAAAGGCAACCTGTTATGATTGGTCTAATTGATATGAGTAGAGCAAATCTTAGGACAACCTGAGATTGATGTATGCGGTAGTCGTGGGATATGGTTTGCTTATGGGACGAATTGGAGCTATCAGGTAGAGCAGTGGGGAAGGGTACATGTAGGTGTGGAAGGTAGTATTAGGCCCGTACTACTGGAAGCACAGGACCTGTACCCGAACCAATGTTAGATCCGACAACTTCAAGGAGGACCGGTGTGGGAAGATCCCTTATATGGAAATCCTGATCGTTGTGATTTATGACATTTCAGTTCAGCATGGTGATGACACGATTTGGAGCAGGGGGATCAGGATCGGGATCTGGATCCGGGGCAGGGTCAGGCGACACTACTGATATGATTGATGAAAGGTTGCACGAGCTTATCGCAACTGAGGTTACCAAGGGCATCCTTGACGCTACCCCAGTCATTTTTGGGACGGTCAAGGAGAGCATGCTGGAGATTATGGAGGAGAGATTCAGGGCATTCAGGGCTGAGATTGCTGCGGGTCAGGTTGGGGCCCGAACTCCCTCGTTCCAGGAGTTCAAGGCGTGTGGGGCGCCAGAGTTTTTCGGGGCCAGGCACCCCATTGTTAGCCGATGCTGGGTGGCGGATATCGAGAACGCCCAGCATAAGAGTTCTTGCCCGGATGCGGCAAAGGTGGGATTTGCTTCTTGTATGCTGAGAGACAGGGCCCGAGATTGGTGGGGCAAGGTTACGAGTCAGGTGGGAGCAGCCGGTGTGGCTGAAATGACCTTGGCCGAGTTTGTTCGGCGATTCGACTTGGAGTTTGCACCATCTATTGAGGTGCAACGACTTGTGAGGGAGTTTCACGACTTACAGAAGACCACCGAGACTGTGGCGGAGATCACCGCCAAGTTTCGAGAGCGAGCATTGTTGATTCCGCAGTATGCCACCGATGAGGAGATGCAGAGGACGAGATATCATTCCATGCTGAGGGATTGTCACACCCCCAAACCGGAACGACGGAAACGTTCGGGGGCGGAGGACGTCATGCTCAGTATCATAACCATAGTGAAGAAAGTAAACACAACCATCATAAATATAATTTAAAAGGTTACATCGTTGCAAAAATACATGTTTCCAAATAAATTACATATGATGTCAAAATAGTTCAAAAGAAATTTGCGTCTTAGCGTCTTGCCTTCAAAAATCTTGTGTTTACCTGTATTACTGAATACCTGAGAATACAAGTTGTTTTGAAAGAGTATCAACATTAAAGCTGGTGAGTTCATAAGCAATTTATGAATGAAAAATGGATGTTGTTCCTTAAAGTTTGTTATAAGTTTGTTTCCAGAAAATCCAATATTTCCTAAAATGTTTGTTGTAGTCTTAACTAAACCAAGACTTAGTATATGTAAGTAAATCGTCATACTTATTCGTGGTTTTATATTTAAATAAAACTGCTTTTTGTGAAATCCTTAAATTCCCGTGAACTGTGTGTTT